CAGTGAGGGGGGGACTTAAACCCTGAATGTCAGACTCGGCGAGCGTCTACAGCGGCCGAGGCGCGGTGGGTGCTCAGCACACTACCGGAGTCACCATGGCAACAGTGGCTCTGTGGCACCGGACCCAAGCCCAGAAGGGACCCGTACCCCTGGCTTCCTCCCCTCTCCGCGCTGTGGGAGCCTGCAGCACTCGGATCCAGCATGGGAGCGCGGAGGGCAAGGTACCCTGGGAGTTGTAGTTCCTTGGCCAGCTCTTTGCCTAGACAATCGGCCCTGCAGCAGGACAAGGACTACATTTCCCAGCATGGCTTGGGGGGGCGCTAGTAACAGGAAAGGGAGGGGGAGGCGCTGAGCACAGCAGCTTGCTGTGGCTAAGAGAGCTTAGCTTGCTGCTGGAAGGGGGGTGGCCCTGTGCCTGGAGGGACATGGGTGCACAAGGGAGCAGAAGGCTTTGGCCGGGCTATCACCCTCAGAAGCTGGATTAGGGGTGCTGGCAGTCCCGAAAGAAGGAATTGGGTGGAATGAATGGATATTGCACCTTTGTCTGCAGCTTAGCAAGGGAGGTATGTGGAAGTAAGGGAGGAAAGGCACTTACTGAGGGGCCTGGGCAGCTGTAGGCATAATACCAGAGACCTGGGAGGATTTGATTCAATTTCCACTTCTGAGCCATGGAAGCAGAAATTGTTTGTTTGTTTTTTTATTCCTGGAAAATATTGTATCTAATATTCAGAAAGCGAATCGAGCACCTGTCTTCCAGCTTTAAACGCCCTCAAAATCTGGATGTGTTCAGATTCCATTTGGGCGGCTGTTACTTCATTTCTCCCAAGTCAAGCACTGATCCACTGTAATTTGCTGTACAAAAAATAGGATCAGATCGAGCAACACATGCTGGCGTCTTCCCAGTACTAACTAGGACTGGAGTTGCTGTTTCCAACAGCCGTTACTTTTTTAAGTTTTCTTCTTTTAAAAATAATACAGGGGTCTTGCATTGGCAAATTTCCCAAGGAAACCAAGAGTGGAACAAAAGAACAAAAAGGCACCTCAACTTTTCCTCATGTGGGACAATATGTATCCAGATATCCTCCAATCACACCAACTGAAAATTAGTGATAGAAATGTAGCCATGTTAGTCTGGTGTAGCTGAAACAAAATACAGGACTATGTCAGAAGCCTTTTAAATCTGCACTTGAAAGGGAATCCTCTGAACTGTCATTCATGCTAAAATTCGACACTCTGCGCGGGGGTCTCACTAAAGACTCTAGCTATCTTACCCATTACGAAGATACCTTCCCCAATTATCACCTCTAATACCATTAGCTCACAGACATTTACTTCCCCCCCCCCCACCACGCATCCCCCTTCTGTTCTGAAATTAGATTTGTCCTTTTCATATGTGTTCATTTTTTTAAATTGTATCCTTTGGTATATATGGTTGTGACTATTTTCTTCCACTGTTTGATCTGAGGAAGTGGGTCTGGCCCACGAAAGCTCATCATCTAATAAACTATCTTGTTAGTCTTTAAAGTGCTACATAGACCTGTATTTTGTTTCAACTGAAAATTGTTCCACTTTACTTTACCTCTGTAACCATGCAGGAACCAGTCTGGTGTTCTGTGCACATCCAAAATTCCTACTGAATTCAAAAGTGCCTTCCTTTGTAACCATAATACCTGATATTCTTAGCCCTTGTAAGTTAAGCAGTTTATATTTAGTAACTGGGTGGGAGGGCCTCCCCCTGCCAGAGCTGCAGTGGCCCAGCCTTTCTCCCTATTGCAGCCTGTCCCTGAACTCCCCCACGAACCACAGTCCAGGTGGCCTGTCCTTGGACACCCCAGTGACACACAACTCACCCTTGTTGGTGACTCACTGAAAGTCTCAGGCACATGAGGCTGAATGCAGAGGTGTGCAAGGAATGAATTTGCAGCCTGGGCTGGTGTCCAGAGACAGGGAAATGGTTGGGCATGGGGGACAGGAGCTATACCGTACTCCTTCCCCTCGTCACCAGACCCGGAAAGAGAAACTGAGGCCTCTCAGCAGCTACTTAGTTTTGAGGTGACAGTCCAGGGAAAATGGTGCTGCCTGCCAGGGGAGGGACCAGTTCTACCACACACCAGCTGTGGTGCACCTCGGCCTCCATCTTCTGTACGGCAGCTTGTGCCCCTTTTCCCTGGGCATACAGTGACAGTCGGAGTCCTGCTTAAGAGGGAGGATAGAGCTGGTGCGGGTTACATCTTGCCCAGCCCTGGCTCGACCGCTGCTGCAGATTCCCTCAGAAAGGGGTTTTCCCCTCTATGGTGGCATGGAAAACAGTGCAGCCAATACAGCAGAGGAGAGCTAGAGACTCCCCCAGAGGACTTCTCTGCTTGCAGGGGCTCACATATACACTATAGTCAGGTTCAAGAATGAGCCAGGAGTCATCCTGAGACTACAAGGATCTTGACAGTCTCTTCTTCTTGGCTCCTGATTAGGAAGTCCCATCTGTTGTATATATGTTAGAAATGAACAGGCATAGTAATCCAACACACTACAATACCTGCCATAAATAGAGATGCTTATGGATTTCTTCCCCCTGCTCCCAGACAGGAGAGCCCCATATATAACAGATTTACAAACTTAATTGTACCAGGACTTCTTTCTGACAACAAAATTTATTATCCAACTCCAGATGTGGGGGGAGGCAACATCTGACCCCACCCAAGTCCCACTGTCCTGAGTGGAGGGGCTAAAGCCCGACCCCACTACTGTGGGACGGGGCTTAAAGCTAAAGGCCAAATACTCAGTACCAGGCAGGGGGGCTGTGACCCAAGCTATGCCACTCAAGGCTTTGGGGTTTGACTCAGGGCGGTAGGGCTTGGACTTTGGCCCCAGGCCACAGTAAGTCTAAGCCAGCCCTCTTGACCCCATTAAAACAGTATTTCAACCCACTTTCAGTTCTCTAACTACAGTGTGAGAACCACTGTCCTGTTATCAAATAGGCACTACTACTACTGTGACTTGTTTGAGGCACAAGACCTTCTAGCAGTGGTTTTTCAAACTGTGGTCTATGGACCCCTGGGGAGCCTGTTTAATTGGGAGCTGTGCAAGATTGTTACCACAGAACAGTGGTTTTCAGTTTACGGTTTCCAGATCTCTGTGGGGCCACAGACTATGTCTAAGATCTCCAAAGGAGTCTGTACCTCTATCTGAAATTTTTTAGGGGATCCACAAAGGAAAATGGGTTAAAAAACTGGCCCTATAGTAACTAGGGATGTTAAAGCGTAACAGTGTAGATGAATCTTAAAAAACAACAAATAGTCTTACAACACCTTAGAGACTAAAAAAAACCATGTAGATGGTATCATGAGCTTTTGTGGGCACAACCTAAATGTGTAAGGTTAATGTTCACAGTTATACACTCCCAGTACACGTGATGCAGAGGCAGCAGCGCAGGGTGGCAAGCAGGAGCAGCTATACACAGGGAGCCAGCTTAAAAGCCAGCTCCTGGCACACACCAGCTCCCTGGGAGATGCTTGCCCCCTGCGTGTAACAGTGTAACTGCTGAAATTTTCAGCGGTTACATGATTACTTAATTATACACGTTTTAACATCCCTAACAGTAGCTACTGACTACTGAAAGTGATGTATCTGAAGCTTAGCCCCTAAAGCAACCATGCAATTCTGGAGGTAGTATATGTATTCAGGCTGTAGGGAAGCGTTCCTGTGATTATCAGACAAAAATTAACCCAGAAATAATAAGCAACCAGGGGCACACAAAGGGTTGCTAAAGACAACAGCTTCATCTCAAAGTGATGTTTCACCAGATGAGGCTTTGTTGCAAGATCCTCTCTTCTAGGCAAATTTAAATGTCCTGCAAAATAGATCCATTCTGGTGATTCTCACCAGAAAGCTGCTCCACAGCCTAAAAGCTGTCCCTGTCAGGAAGGTTTGGGGGGCTATTCAGCCTAAGGTCTGATTTATAACTGGATTTTATACCAGTCCAACTATTTTGGTTGGAGATGTGATACACCAGTAAAATATAAACCCCCTAGTTTAGACACTGCATAAAGATAACATACCAGTGTACTTTATTTCCCTTCCTGTATGGGAATAAACTTTAGTGGTATAGTATAGTTGAAGTGGTACAATTTGTGTGTAGCCAAGGCCTAGATTTTCTCTCCAATTCCATCCCATGACTGCTAATTGTACCCTCTTATTAAACCTTAAACAATTTCATTCTGTCCTTGACATCTGCCCTTTTCAAATACCTACATCTCTGCACCTCTACATAATTTTGTTGCTTTTCTGTGAATTTCCTCCAGTGTCTCAACAACTTTCTAGTACAGGGCACAGATTCCTAAAAGGGAAGCTGATTTCGTTACAAATTACTGAGAATCAGAGTTACTTGGAAGCTGCTAACCTACT